TACCGCCTATTATTACAATACTTTCATTATCTTGAAAGTTGACAAAAACTAATTTAACCTGAACATTTCAAACCAAATTTTAGGGAACTTGTACATACATGTATATCTGAGCAACAGAAGACATTAGAACTTTATTTGGGAAACGGGAAAACTTACAAAGTAACAAAACTATCATATACATGAAATGTTACAATATGTGACTACTTTAAATTTTCCATTTTCTCGCCTTTCCAAAAAGCTTGAAAACCTCCATTGATTATGTGTTTAACTTTTATGCAAAGTTGAGTCTCTTCTAGTATAATAATTAAAACTAAATTAATACTGTAAACAAACTTTAATTCGCGTACCAAAATTTTCCTCAAATTTCACGTTTTTCCTTTTCTTGCGATTTTTTTTCCTTCTACAAGCTCACTATTAGTTTGCGTGTACAAAAAGAAGTATAAACTTAAGTTTTAAAAATGCGTCGTCGAATGGAGATTTAGAATTGACATATCTTATCTTATGTTTGTCGTGAACAATAGTTGGTTAACATGTACACTGTAATATGGTGCGCTTTTTATTGTTACTGTTGTCCTCAAATCAAAGTGCTACATAACAGATTACGGAGTTACTACGTACAGAGGTAATCAGGGAATGGATCCACCAGGGAACAGATTAACTGAAGCAAGATTACTTTAATTCTATCAAGTACTGTTAAATCGCTAATTTCGTGGGGGTTAACTTTAAAAAATTTTGTTGTTTTTAAGATATGAAAAGACCCTAGAATTTATTAAACACGAAATGGAAATTTTCACATAAGTTACTACTGAACTATTCCTCATCCAAGAAATCAAATCCCTGTGAACCAATTTATTTTCCCCAAACCACAAACATTCGTCCACTCAAAAATATGTGCTTTTACAGATTTTAATTCTATCAAATAATTGCTGTCGATTATTCTAACTTTGTACCAATGACTGAAAATGACACCGTTAATTTGTGTCTTTTTGTAACAAAGTCAATACTTTAATGAGATTGTGATGATACCTCATATCATTGTCCCAAACCTTCATGATCATGTAACAAACATGTTTTATTTCAGACTAATTGCTGAACTATCAAGATGACTATGAGTTGCACTATTTTGAAGCAAATTCAATTTAATTTACATTACATGTACTATGTATACCGTTCTGCAGCTTTTACTTTTTGTAATGGTGTCAGGAAGTTACGAAGAAATCTTCTTTGTTTTCCTGCTTTCCAGTGTTTTCTTCAAGATATATGACGACAATACGTAAAAATTTATCTACCATATTGAAATTGAAATTTTTTTTAAGAGAAGGTAATAAAAATATTTTAATATAAATATGTTTTATGTATTGTAGTTTTTTTTCCTGAGATAGCTAGCTAAATGACTACATAGTTAGTGATCCCCCCTATGGGGAAACTTAACCATATGCAAACAGCAGATTTCCAGCCAAAGTAGGGTTTTGGTTATGATTTTTAACAAGAGGACCATGAGCTCACCTGAACACACAGAATAGGAGGAAGCACACATTATATCAGTATTGAACGGGGTAAGGGAGGAGGTGACACACTTAAATTTACACTACCTTAGGGGGCTTTCATATGAATGTTTTAATCATTGCTTTTTGTTTTTTAATTGAAGATTTAAAGACATTTCTCCCCAGATATTCCTATCGCTCTTTGCCCATTCCTACAAAGCTTAAGTATGAACAGATTTGAAACAACACTTTATATAAAGTATATCTTAAATAATATATCTTATGATGGATTGGTTGTTCTTGAGCAAAAATTGTTAAAAGATGAATCCGATGTATTCATTTGCAAAACTTTGACCCTTTGTTGTGCCCCATCCTTGGATTCATAATTTAGCAGCACAGTTACGGTTACATTAAGGATGCAGGGCTTAATGTATGCGTAAGATGTTTACTATAATGTCATACAAAGTATAAGGACTTCAAAATGCCACAAAATGAAATTATTTGCTATTTCCAAGTGCTGGATAGTTGTAGACTATACAAAAACAATTACATGCAGTTTTTGTCGTTTGGTAAATCTCACACAACAATATATATAAACAATGCATCAATACCAATGCACGTGTCAATGTGACGTCATCTCGTAAAAGTTCAAGTAGTTTTTACACAGTGAGAGGCTGATTAAGTCACATTTTGTACAATGAAAAATGCCTTTTGTTCTCAAATAAAATGTTATTTGCAGTTATATAAATGGACGTCAAATTGGATGCAATGTCTTGTGCCATTTTATGTATATAATGTTGGTATATTCTCCAGAAAAGTGATTGTCTAGTGTTTGTACGCAGGTTTATTGAAAAAGTAATAGAAACATCATAATTAATTGATTTATTGCAAGGACATACCCACGATGTACCTTCCCAAGTTTTTACACATAAGCTCAAAGAGCATAAAGATATTTGTAAAGTACTGCAAACCTCATGAACTCTTGCAAATAAATTAATTATACCTATATTTAAATTGACCAGCAAAATATTCAACCTGTCAACCACCAAACTAAATTTTAGCAAATAGATAAGGGAATCGACATAAGTTCGCAGCACTTTTAACAAACTACATATAGTGTTAAAAAGGATTATAAATTAAACTAAGATTCATAACTTCGTTATCCCCTTGCAATAGTGTTATTAGTAGATTACATCTAAACTGCAAGTATAATAATTAAAATCATAAATGTCATAAAATCTGAATGTCCTCAACATATAGATTTGATCTACATTACATTTTATTGATATTGATATCAGTAAAGTCCTTAAAACAATTGTCCATCTTTCACAAAGTATGTATTTTTTATCTTTAAAAAATCGTCGATATTTCCATTTGTAACCTAACTGTTTTGCCTTAAGCTTAGTTGATTTTATATTTATTTACCTAAGATTGCCTATTTATAATATAAATATGACTAAAAGTCGCTTTATCGTACTTCCATTACAAAATGACCTATCATGACTTTGTTTTTCTAAAGAAGAAGCCTTTAAAGACATTTCCTGCATATTCCAATGTACATTTTTAACCTTTTTTGTTTCCTTTCCCTGCCTCCAAGGGTAACAATATGAACAAATCTGAATATTGAGTTTGCAATGAAGCTTTCTCACAAGTTTTTTTTTTTCTTCCTTGATTTATTTTTGAAAAGAAGATTTTAAAAAGATGCCATTAAATATAACGAATTATACCGGTAATCATCTCCCCTAGAAAGTTAATGTGACACTACCTGCAAACATACAAAATTCCTCCTTACGCAAGAATGCTTTTGATTAGTTTGGTTGAAAATGGTCCAGTGATTCATGAAAAGAAGTTGAAATGTGAAAAGTTTTTGGATGACAGAAAGACGGACAACGTACGGCCGTCGGATACTTTTTGATCAGAAAATAAACTCACTAAAGGTAGATCGCAGGTTTACTGTCTGTCTGAAAACACACTGAGAATTTGTCAGGTTAATTGTTTTGAAACAATTGAATTTTTCTTTCTGAATTTTATTTTTGAATTCTCTGTAACAGTATTTCAAAGAGTTTGACTAATGTTGTTGAGAAAAAGTGACGGTATTACAGTGAAATATGCGCTGTTTATAACTGCATTTCAAAACCATTCTTTTAAAATTAAAATGAAGCTGGCGAATTTTATATAACCTAACGCAATAAATGTGAAGTAAATTTAAAATTGATCTATGTAAAAAATATATATATTTTAATTATATTAATTTGTCATAGAACTTTTTATCTAGTTGCAATTTTCAAACAAATGGAGAAGATTTTCCTTATGACATTATACGAGAATTGTCCGGTAAAATTGTGAACAAGTTGTCTAGTGAGAAAAATAATCATCATTACGTTCTGACTTTTTTCCAATTTTTAGTAATATATCTAATGAATAAACATAGCAAATGTCAACTAGACATGTGCATAAATAAACCAATTATGAGATTTTATGCTATGCATTGTATCGCTTTCGGTGCACGGATGATAACGTCAATGTGTCTAAAATAGCGTCACAATAAAGTTGAATTAGTCCCTCTATATTTTAGGAATTTCATTGATACACATACTTGAGTGTCAATAAATAATTGAGGAATCAATATGGTACACATATGCGATCTTCTGATAGTTTATTAGTAAGTTACGGACGAAATTCTCACCATAATTCAACTAGATAAACAATAACGATAAATATACTAGTATATTATATCGACAGTGGATAGTAACAGCGACTTTTGCTGTTACAATTATAGCAGTTTGTCCGTATGTTTTGTACTACCTTGAGACTCGATCGAAAAAGACTTCGCGAAAAAAAAAAAAAACTCCCATTTCATTTGAATGCTAAAAATTTGACAATGTTTTATATTTTTCTTCTTCTTCCTTATTCAAGGTCTCGTAAGGTGTCATTGTAACATCTTAATCAAACAGAACTGTTCTCCGGTGCGCCGTAACGTCATCAAACGTCGGCATTTTTTGTGTGTTGTGATTACCACTTTCCCATTTCAAATGCTCGAGAAACTGTCAAAAATTTACTAATTGCCTTGATTTTTTTGAAAGCTGATGAGATGGATTATGAATTGAATAAGCATAATTTTTATCCCAATCTTATCTATTTCAAACTTTTATTTTGAATTAATACTTGTGTATTCTCTAAAAATACCTTGGCTCCCTAATGTAGATTTTCCAAAGGGTTTGGAAAAGTTTTGGAATTCCATGGAATTCCAATCATTTCTATACCAAACTCGAAAAGAGTGTCTGGAAGTTTTTGGAATATTTTGGAATTTGGAAAAAAAAAATTGAAGTTAAATATTTTTGGTTAGGAAAGTATTGGAATTCTTTGGAAAAAATCATAAAATGAAAAACTTAGCCATTTTCTGCGCTGGAAAACTGTGGAAAATTACTTAGAATTTTTTTTACTGTATGACTAAATGTACAATAAAATCGGGATCGAAGTCGGGCTCGATGAACAATTAATTTAAACAAATCGCCGAAATTCAAAAATATCGAATGCCATGTTGATGTTGCATGGAAGGGAAGTTGGAAAGAGAGTGTCTAGAACAGGGGAATCATGATTAGCAGTGGATGGAAGAAGAGGAAGACATTTTAAGACCCGGTAGGTACAATATTGAACAGTATTTTTATGTGTGCTTGAATGAAGAACGCTTCTGCTTCTGTTCATTAGCCTGGACACCACACATAAACTGCCCGACGGTGAAATCGTTGGTGCACTATTTCAATATTGTAATAATTATTTAACAACTCTAATCATCTCATTATTATCATGGATTTTAACCCGAATATCCTCGTTTGGGATCGATCTCATGTAAAGAATTTTACCTATACGTTCCTTTGTTCAAGTCAAGATAACATTTACAGAGTATGATGTACAATATAATTCATAATATTTATTTTAAGGCATGTTCATGATAATTTTCAGCTCTTATTTTAATCATTTTGTAGCTGTTGCTGCATTGTGCCTGAGATGATCCCCTCAGCGCTGGCGTTTGATAACTTGGTGGATGTAGATGCTTAGCCAGTCAGTCACTAGGCTTGTGAATATGGTGAGAACGAGCTCAAATTATCGCTCAAACCAAGTAAATTAACTTTGATTTTATTAATCCATGTCTATTAGCATAATAATATGTTCTACGGTGCGACCGTTGGGGCGAGCGCAGTTATTTACTTTGAAAAACCTTTATACAGATTTTACTTGCACTGCCTATCCTCAGTTCTTTAAAAAAGAAGAACAGAATAACAAGTCAATTCCCAGGCATCGGGATCGAAATTCCGAACTTTTGGAAGTTTCCTACAAAATCCGAAATACTTGAGATGTTTAAGTGACGAAAGTATGACGTCAAATAAAAAGTCCGGTTGACTCTGAATGCAAACGATAGTTTTCTGGCTTGGAGATTGCAAAAAATAGTTGTTTGTAATTTTTACAAGTAAGTTGTTGCTATTTTTTAGCGACCATGTTGCTATTCACTGCAAAGGATTATTGGGAGTTTGGAATTTTTTTAACGCTGTGAGATAAAAATTTCTTGGAACAATGTGCAGATTTCAACCCGAATTTCTTCCGTTCGTACACGTTAGTATATTGAGCTTACTATATGAGCGTTGCTTCAGGATGCTCGCTGCGCTCGCTATTAAAAAAAAATTATTGCAACTTTGCAAAGTAAACAAAATTTAAAGGTTTATATTCTTAACATGCTTAAATTTCTTATTCTAATAATTTATAAATAACAAAGCATTCTGACAGATAATCTAAACATGAAAACTGCACATGCCTAATTATTTTAGATCAAATAGCAATCATCTACTATGAAGTATACATGCATTTTACAGGAATCGGGATGCTCACAAGGACAAGAGGTGTATAGAAAAACATAAAGGTAAGATTTCTGAATTATTTTCTAAATCAATAAAATCACATGAATTGAAATTATCTTTTTTCAGTGTTAGTCGGGCATTGCGCTTGAGCTCAAACCTTTTTGTTTTAGCTTACCTGAACCATTTTAAGGCCTAAGTGAGTTTTTTGATCAGTGCCTGATGTTGTCTGTCATCTATAAACTTTTCTCATTTATCAGAATTAATCCTAATTTGAATAAAAAATTCCAAGATCGTGAATTGATTCATATTCCATAATAAACTGATTTGCCAGGTCAAAAAAAATCAATTGTTTTGTATAGGTTTTGTTTATTATTTGTCATATATTTATATGGATATCAATAATGATGCATCTTAATGGTCATCTTTTTCTTTCAGAAATCGTGTAAGGATGGAAAGTTTGAAGTGTCTGTTGGAATGATCAACATCGAACTTTCTGAGCCTTTGTACTGAAAGTTAATCCGTTTGTGACACCAATTAACTGTCAACATTCTAACATAACCATTTACTAATTTCATGAAATATCAGTGAGGAAGTGATTCTCTAGCAAACATGTCAGAAGTTTTGGATCTTCATTAATTGGGATCTTTGGCACGTACGTTTGGGGGAAATAGCATCTGTTGATTTTATGGGATCATTGTATCAATATAGTTGTGAAGTACATATTCTTTTCATGTAATACATGTGTTTGTCACACTAGTCAATAACTTTGTACCAGTACATAAGCATGAGGCCTAGAAAAAAATATGTTTGTTTCCGCTTCCAGGCTGAAAAAATATAGGGTAGGTAGGTAGGCAATTTTTTTTTTTTTTACTTCTTTAATCAAAACGTGTATAGAAGTAACATTAATGACAAAATAAATGGTGTTTTCAAGCATTTCTATGACTTAAACTTACAATAGAAATGTGACTCAAACTTCTTTATGTCTTGAAAAGCTTGCAAAATTGGAGACTATAATTCCCTGGGTGAAATCTTGCACTTCATGGGCTGGGTTTCAGATTGAAATGAGTAACTATAGGACATATGGCATACGAGTATTTACCAGAAAATTTAAAGGCCATTCTGTTCTAACATCCTAAAATTATAGGCCCATTAGAAGTGTTGGGTCCGTTTGAAATTTATCATTCTAACCAGTGTTAACAATAAATTATAAAACATTCTATCTAGCTGAGTGATAGTTGAAAATATACAATTCTTTTCAGAATTCTTTCAAAGTATACTTAAATAAATTCAGGTAAATAACTTAAGAATAAATATACTGTATAACTCAATTGTTTTCATTTCATTTTTTTAGATATTTAAAAGTTATCTTTTCTCTGGACTCTCATTGCATGAAAGTCAAGAGAAATTTAAAAAAAAAAAATTAGAATCGATTATCATTAATAATCGGCTGGGATTAATTAATTATAATTGAAATTTTTTATCAGAAATGAAATAAATATAGAAAAGTTAAACTTACTCACATTTGTGTCAGACTTTTACAAAAAAAAAATCATTTAATTGCTTAAAATAATAAAAAGTATATATGAATTTTCCTTTTAATAAAATGGAAAATAATAGTTTGTTTACTTTAAACAAAATCAATATATTGAAACAGAAGGGGGATTTATTTTTTTTCTAATTCCATTCAAAGAGTATTTTACTGATATTAGTCCCACCTTTCATTACATGTACATGTATTTATTTCTTGGGATTACAAGTTTTAAAAGTAGTTTAATATCCAGAAATGAGATTTGTATTTCTGATTACAAGTATAATTACGTTTACAAATTGCCTAGACTAAAAATGTTTTCCTTTGTATAAAAAACCTTGCAATATTGTCTTTTGTTATTAGTCTGACCCCACATTCAATCATGGCGGTAAAAATATCAACATGACATGGATTCCTTGTTTTAAACTTTTGGCTCTTTGCACTTGGATTTTGAAATGAAATTAAAGTATTTTTTGTCAAGATCTTACACCCAATTGTCATTGGCTGATGAAATCTGCAGTTGCATAAAGAAGCAAAAAAAAAAAATACATGTACTCAGATCTGAACGGGGGAAAACTAGTCTATACGACTTGCCTTTACATATAGAAGTTAATCGGCCATTATGTCCGTTCAGTGCTAAACCTATAGGACATTTTGGCAGGTAAATTTTATTTTTTTCCTGCCATTTTTAATTTTTATCGGCAAATGGCCGATGGCCGACGCCAATCTGAAACCCTGCATGGGACAAAAGCATTTAAAAAAAATTTTGGGGTCGGCACTATAAATTAGGGTCGGTCGGGAAAGCGGAAACAAACATATTTTTTTCTAGGCCTGATAAGCCACTGGCAGTTCATTGTAAATGTATAGCCTGTTGAGGTTTCAATTACCATTCCAATTCCATGGTCAATTTCATTTAATAAAACTAACTTCTTATTTTAGAAAATGCAGATTGGAGTTTACTAAATTCATGTATATCATAACATGATTATCGTTAATTTAACCAAGGTGACTGATTCTCCAGTAATCATTTTTTTCTGTAAATAACCTTTAATGTAAAATACTTTCTGTGAGAACTCTTTATGAAAGTGTGCTTTTATTGTACATCTGAGAGTTATATGCAATATTTGTCTCAAAAAACATTGTAAAAGAAACAATTTTTTATTTTGAAAATATAAATTTGATCTATTAAAAATTAAGATGTTATCTAGTTTTTTTTTGTAACTATTTGGCACTAATTATTTCAGTTTTCATTGTACATGTAGTTGGCATTTGGTATCCTGGAATTCCATGGATTTCCATGGAATTCCTTACATTTACAAATATCCTGGAATTCCACGGATTTCCTCCGCAAATTTCCATTCTGGCATTGTTCCGCTCTTTTCGAGGCTAGATTCAAAATTCCAAATCATTCCGAAAGAAGTTCCGTCCCAATACTCCGGAGAATTCTAAAGAATTCCGCGGAACAAAAATTCCATTTTCCGCAACTTCCATGGAATTTCAAAGCATATTCCATGGAATTCCATGGAAGTTGCGGAAAATCTACATTAGGGCTTTTTGCCCGTGCGCCGTAGGACCGTACCCTGTGTATTTTCAAGCTATGTTCTATCGTTAAAATGATAACTGTCCTACGGACCCGGTTTACCGATAGAATGCCTTCTGTGTATGCACAATGTAGCAAAGTAAACACGGGCGATAACTCATACTAGTGGATTTACTATGAACAATCAAGAGGTTCCGAACGTAAACAAGGCGTGTAAAGAGATAGGTTCACTAGCTCCATAGAGTGGCCCTGCCAATATACTAATTGACCAACCAAGTTCTAACGTCCAATTTTGAATATCAACATAAAGTAGAGACTTAGTGCTCTCATTTCCTATAAAAAAATACCTCTGAGAATCCAAGTTTTGAAACCTACGCTTAGTGAAACTGCAAAATTCTTGATTTTTAAGAAAATAGGTGAAATTGAGCATCTTCAACTTATAATAAAAAATATGAGCCCACCCTGCGATCCAAAATTTTTTTCATGGATTAAAATCTTCTGAAACAGTTCTTTCATTATATATAATTAAACATTTTAGATCAGAGGTTAGGGGCTATGCAAAATATTTAAAAAAACAGCTTAAATGTTTGGTCATTTTAAATTAAATTTTCCAGATTTGAGGAAAATGACGAAATTCATGAGGTCATAATACACGAACAAAAGAAAAAAAACGTCATTTTTACTTGATGTGAATTTACCAATGGCCCAAGTGAAATTTGACATATTTTCAATCAAAACTGAGTAGTTCTGATTTTTCAGAAATTCACATGGCCAAAAATGGACCCATGTGAACTTTGTTCTTTGCAGCGGGAAAAAACGTTGGGAAAATTAGTTGTATATTCGTCTTTTTTTTAGATTAAACTTTAGGTTTAAATACTTACGCAGCTTCAAAAAGGTTTTTTTTTAATTGATTTATAAGTTATTTTCAGTGCAAATCCGTTTGTATCCTTCAAAATCGTTTCGGATCGATTCTGCAATTTTTTGCTAAATTGCGAGTATATGGGTGGTATTCTAACTGTGGTGAGGGCTTGTCCTGAGACACAGTTAGATTATTCTAACTAATTCAACCTTAATAAAATCTTTCTTATTGTCTAAAAATATGTTGCACTTAAATAAAATAGATAACCATTTACTGAAAATCTTAGCCCAGAATGATTTTATGAGAAAAACGAATTGTCCACGATTTTACCGCACAACCCTCGTATAGCTAGATTAGGACGTCATTTTATGCGCCCGGGGCGTACATTGTTTTTATCCTGTCTGTCTGTTTGTTTGTCTGTCTGTCCTTTTGTTGTCAATTTTAACATTCGCCATTACTTTCAACTGTGTGAGATAGAGACTTGATATTTGTATGCACACTCCACTAATTAGGCTCTTTCATATGTCACCAGGGTCAATGACCTTATGACTTTAATTGTGACCTTTATGCTAAAATAGCTTTTTCGTACTTTCGCCATTTTTAAAATATAGGAGATAAAGGCTTTATATTTGGTATGCATACTACACTAATTAAGTTTTTTTCAAATGACAACAAGGTCAAGACCTTTTGGTCTTGACGTGACCTATATGTTAATAATAGATTTTTAACACTTTGTTGCCGCCGGGCACTGGTGTTTCGCAAACACTTCTTGTTTTTCTATGCCTTTTCGACCAGACGTAAATAAATCAAAAAATTCACTCAACATAGAGCATGTTATCCGTTAATTCATTTTTTTATTGATAATGTTCATCTAAACATTGTTATCATCTATCAATAGTTTGGCACTTATTCAAAGAAACCAGGGAATATGTCTTTTTTCAGTAAGCTCAAGTCGTACTGGAAAAAAATATAACCTGATGTACATGTATCCTAGTAAGAATCAGCTAATCGGATTTGAGAACATCCTATAAAAATGTCACTTCAAAACAACGGACTGGCCCTTTGTCATTTGTGTTTTGATGCGTTTTATAGTGGGCACGAAATTTAGTTTGCTGCACCTCGAATTCTGACATTATATATTGATAACGGATGCCAATCCATATTTTTCACCAGTACAAGACGATCGAGATATATAAAGGTTCATTAAGAAATAAAGACTCTTTTCAATATTTTCCGCCAGTAATTTTAATTCAACTACCCACCGCTTCCCTATTTCCCTTGAGTTTTCGTCCGTGCAGGGTCTTGCAAGATCGTTCATCTGTCTCCTCTTCATTTTAAAAAGTGTTCTTCAAACTCATAATTATTTTTTAAGACAATCTTCTCGTGGTATTTCTTTGCGAAAGTGTTTATAACTGTTTCTTTATAAAACATATAGTACAAAGATGTAAATGATCAATCCTTTATTTTTAACTAGATATTATTGAAATGGCGGCGGTCTCTAAGTGTCCGTTCACGGTAGCCTAGTGGTAGAGCGTTCGCTTCGTGATCGGGAGGCCCGTGTTCGATTCTCGTTCCCGGTGCCGCGTCAAATCTAAGACGTAAACAATATGTAGTTACTGTTCCTTCGCCAAGCGCTAGGCATCAGAAGTGAAAGTCACGGGTCTTTCGGATATGACCTTAAAAACGTAGGTCCTGTGTCACGGTATGCGCTGGCACGATAAAGAACCCTCACTTCTCAATGGCCCTAAGTGCCGAGTATACGTCTAAATTTGAAGCCCTTCACCGGCATACGGTGACGTCTCCATATGAGTGAAAAATTTTCAAGAGGGACGTTTAACAATATACAATCAATCAATCAATCAATTAATCAAAGGGTCCCGTTTTAAGCAACAAACATGAATAGTAAGGTAGCTGAAAAGTGTTTATTTTGAAGATTTTTGAGATTAAAGTGGACAAAGAGTAAGGACTGAAAAATAATAAAGATAAAAAAAAAATTTCAGAAATGTATCCTATATGAAAATTGTTGCATATCCTTTATTAAAATATAGAAGGAAAATCACAAATGTTCCGTACCTAGTCAATTTTCTTGAGGCTAAGTAGACTTAAGGGAAAGAAATTATGCACCGAACAAAGATTTTAAACAGAGAGACTATTTTTGACCTTGACCTATAAACTTAATTACTTTGTTCAATGTCACTGCACATCCATTGACCATTGGCACTCTGTGGGTAAAGTATGATCAAGATTTACCCAAAAAGGGAGAAGATATATATGCTCCGAACAAGGATTTTTAATGTAAATCTGCTACGACTTTAACCTTTGAGCTAGAAACATGACTCAAGGTCACTACACACCTTTTTACCAAAAGGCGCTTTGTTGGTGAAACATGTACCAGATAAGGCTAACGATTGATTGATTGAATATTGTTTAACGCCGAGACGGCAATTTTACAGCCATGTTTCGGCGGTTTAAAGAGGAAATATGTTTCTGACAAGAATTTAACCAAAAAGGCTATTTTTGACCTTGACCCTTGACCTAAAAACTTTGCTCAAGGTCACTGAGCATTCATTTACCACTGGCACTCTGTGAGTGAGGTATGAGCCACATTGGACAAAGGGGAGAGAAGATATACTTCGAAAGAGGATTGGTATATAATTCTGAAATATGACCTTAACCTTTGACCTATGAAGATGCTTCAAGGTCACTGTATACCCTTTTTCTAAATGCACTCTGTAGGTGAAGATGAGCCCGATTGGGCCAAGGAGGGAGCTAGTATATATGCTTCGAACAAAAGATATCGGACGGACATGCAGACGTACGGAGGGACAGCTGCAGCTAGACGGACAGGCAGACTGATCACTAAATGGTGCCAGCCGAGCGAGTCCCTAAAAAAATACATGTACATTTACAAAAGTATATTTGTACAGATCAAACAAGGTTTTTATACCTTTTATTTCATACCGCATGCTACTTCACATATCTTTTGCCATTTAATAGTGAGCTACTGATAAATCGGTAACATTTTTACTTTCAAATCCTATTGTAACGTCAGCTAACCTGTTATCTACCTTAAATTATTCCCTAGGCTCAGGTGACCTTAAAAGACGATATGGTTAACTAATCAATACATTTTATATCAATATTTTGAGCACTATTTTTTTTTTTACATTCTGCATAATATGAATTATACTGAAACAGTAATAAAGGTCATGGGTTTAAAAAAATTAAATTTTTTTATCAGAGGAGAAAGATATCCGAGAAAATTCGGATCAGATTCCCTAAGTAGGTATCCCCATTCAACTAGTCACAATCACTTTGTGCTCTTGTGAATCTAATCCAATGGAAGGCATAAACTATATGGACAATTTACAATTGTTACAATTGTACGAAAACGAAAGGGTCATGCAAAACATGACCTGATTGGAAAAGGGGTTGTTAATAAATACTAGTTTATCAAAGGGTTATCTGCCATTTTACTGTTTCGGAAACTATTATGTTTCATTTTCTTTGCAGGGAGGTGGGTCTCTCCAGATTCAAGGCGGGGGATTGGTCTTGTAGAGGGTAAGGCTATATATATTACCGATATTGTCGAGAGTGCGAGGTAAGCTTCGGTATAGGATAAGAAGCAATTTTGAATTTCAAAGGATATTTATTTATTTTAATGCGTTTTCTTGTAGACAGCAAGTACGTAGGCGATTACGACGTGTGGAAGACAGGGATATCAGGTGAGCATTCATTCACAGAGAGAGAGAGATAGAGAGAGAGAGAGGAGGGAGAGATCAGTTAATTTGTTTGTAATAGATACATGCATGTACATGAAACCTTCGTTAATTGATATTCTCATACAGACTATTAGAAATACAACAAGATATTGATAAGGAGAGTTTCAATATAACGATATAGGACATACGTTGGTACATGTATTGAGTATAAAAAATCCCAATAAAAATTGTTGAATACATGTACACACTTTTCCTACAATAGCAGTCTAGTTTATTTTTTAACTCAAAAGGAAGAAATGACCTTGGAACCTGCCCCCCCTTCCAACTTTTTCACTCTTTGAATTGTAGGCAAAGTCACGTATTTAAAATCAATGCCGCTTCATCCCCCGAAATAGATTTTTCATGGAGGGTGATCGATAGTGTGTGTTGAGGAGGGTGGGGAGGGCATCGAAAAATAAACGATTATGATTACATTTGCTAAAGATTAATGTTGACGCAACCGGGGAAAAATTTGCATCTGCACCATTAGAACCATTAGAATTTTTTTTTCCAAATGAAAAGCCAAAAATGTAAATATTTCCATTGGTAAGACCGCAAACTTGGTTTTTAGTCTTCTTTCTACATAGCATATAACGGATTTATTTGATGTATTTATGAAAGTACGTTATAATTCTTAGTGATTAAAGGAAAATCATTATTCTAGATTATTTATATTGTACAAGCATGCAGTACTGTAATCAATAATGCATTTAATTTCTAGATGAGTTTTCCACACTGACTGCTGACGAGGTGTGTGTGTTATTCTGTTTTCTGTGTTCTGACTCCGGTCCTCCTGACCTTACTGACACAGAGTGGCTGGACTTGCTTAATGAGATACGACAGTTAGTGAACCATGAATTTAATTTAGTAACACGTGAGGAAGCACAGCAGACTCTGGACAGACTGAAGTCACGTGATTTCCTCTGGGAAGATCGGGACAAGATAACGAAGGACACAAAGGATGAGACAATGTATAGGATAACTTCAATACACAGTTTTATACCATTCTATTACAGTAGTTATGACACAGCCAGTGTGTACCTGAGATCACAGAGATACAACAGAAAACCTGGAGAGAAGTGTGGCATTAGTAGTTTTAGTTACTGTGATTCCTTACTGATACTCCGTCTACAGATGAACATTCTGACTCACGTCACCATGGAGGACACCAGTATATATGATAAAATATACCAGATATGTAAGTAAATGTAAAGAAATGCTAGATATTGAAAGATGTTTTAATTAAATGATCGAATTTATTGAATTCATATGAATTATAGACAGAGTCATCATAAATGTAAAGTTTTTGGATATTGATCAATATCAGGTACATTCATGTTATAAAGAGTGGATATTTGTTTTATAACTGAAAATCAAGTGGTTCTTAAATCGTTCTTGTTTCAAATTATATTTCTATGAATAATTACTATAAAAGTACTTCTACAATATTAATATACATTATTCATTTTCTTTGACAGTGAATATTCCATACAATATACTGAACGAGGATGAGGATAAAAGGAAACAATTACTAATGGATCTAAGAAGAGGAGGGGAGGCTGTACATTACAGAGGAAGATCACATGACAGTGTAGATCACGTGACGTGGCTCTGGAGATACGGGATAGAAGCGAGACCTGACATCGTGGTATCCTGTATAGGTCTACATCCACATAATGATATCTACATCATTGACAACAGACCTTACAGAAAACCAAGTACGAGGAAAGGTTCAATGATGTTTTATTTTTATTTACAAACATGTAAACATAAGGCTTAACTTATTACAATTTTGCACGTATTAATCTTTTATAGACACTCCAATTCATCCGATTACATGTAAGTACAAAACACCAGGCAGACGGACAGACATCCCGATCATTATATAATCTCCCGCTTTTCAAGAAGGGGGGAGGGGGTAACCAGACAGTTCCAGTCAGGTGAACACTTATTGTTCACAATTGGCACGGGTAAAATAAAAATATGCTAAGAAAAAAAAATGTATATAAGAAATATAATAATTAAGACATAAAAAAAGGATGCATAAACAATATATAATCATGTTATCAATGAGAAATCTCAATAAAACAATTTTTAAAAAATATTATTTACACTGTTTTAGTCTTTACTATCAGAACAACAGATCGCTCAATTAAAAATAAAAGCGTGTTGTTTTGTTGCTACGCGTTTAATGTACTCAAAATGCGATTTTTATAAGTATTCCATATGGATATACCTTTTCAACAATTTATAAAGCAAGTTTGAGTATCATAAGGCAATAAATATCATAGGGTTCTCCACATAATTATTTTGATAAAAATACTATAGATGTCGCATAAATGATTTGTTATCATGTCGTTGATATTGGAGAAAAAATTAAACAAAAAACCCTTAAATATAGACAAGTACATATATGTCTTGTACAGTGTGAGTTATTTACTTTCCTTTGTGTTTTAGGTGAACTTCTTAACAATCCACCGGATGTCAGGTGTCTACTGTATTCTCTGCTGTTAACTGAGAAATATCAGCTGAATCTCAGTGAACAATCACACAGAGTCATAAGGGACAAAATCAGAGACAGATATTTTCCTGATGTTACTGATGACGGCTTAGTTCATTTTCCTGAAGGATTCACAGAAACACATAATGGTATGATAACCTTTATATCAGACGATATCCGACATGACGTCATGTACGCCTTTGTTACGGAGTGTCTGGTGGAGGACAGTGATCTGGAGTTCTTCCTGACCACGGCGTCACGTGACGTGATATCAGAATACTGCCGGTCCTGGGATTATGAGAGGAGTGAGGGAGAGAGATGTCTGTATGTTCCGGACAGACCGGAGATGTACGACCTCTTTATAGATAAACTACAGCTGGACATCATCTCACACTTTACCGTGTCTGACGACGGGATTCATAACAGTATCTGTAAACGCTGTAAGTATTAAATAAGTTTTTAGCTCACCTGAGCCGAAGGCTCAAGTGAGCTTTTCTGATCACATTTTGTCCGTCATCCGTCCGTCTGTCTAGCTGTCCGTCTGTCTGTCCGTCTGTAAACTTTTCACATTTTCGACTTCTTCTCAAGAACCACTGGGCCAATTTTGACCAAACTTGGTACAAAGCATCCTTGGGTAAAGGGAAATTTAAATTGTTAAAATAAAGGGTCAAGTCTTCTCAAAAGGGGAGATAATCAAGAAAAGACAAAAATAGGGTGGAGTCACTAAAAAAAGTTCTTCTCAAGAACCACTGGGCCAAAAAAACTGAAACTTATGTGGAAGCATCCTGATATAGTGAAGATTCTAAATTGTACAAATCATGACCCCCGGGGAAAGGGCAGGGCCACAATAGGGAATCAAAGTTTTATACAGAAATATATAGCAAAAATCTTTAAAAATCTTCTTCTCAAGAACCACTGGGCCAGAAAAGTTGAAACTTATGTGGAAGCATCCTAGTATAGTGTAGATTCTAAATTCTTCAAATCATGACCCCCGTGGGAAGGGCGGGGCCACAATGGGGAATCAAATTTTTACACAAAAATACAGACTTGTCGAAATCCGTCTGTCCTGTCAGCAAGGCCGGTAAAAATTTGTCTGGACCGATAGCATTTAAGAAAACGTCGGTCCAGATGACCGATTGAAAAAAAATGAGCGTAATGCAAATTTAATAAAGGTCAGGATCGGGATGCATAGTTCAAGGTCAGAAACACAGAAAAAAATGGCCGCATACGCAGCATGTTGACGCTATCTAAGTAAATTTGTTATAGCGAAGTCATAAAACTTGTCATTTATGTCTATGTTAAAGACTCTCTATCCCAAGAAAGGAAACTTGTTAGATTGAAGGCTATTGAAAATAATAAAGGACATTTTGGTGTTGTTATTCATATGATTTTACCGGCATCAAAATAACGTACAAGTATCTGGTCTGACAAAAGTTTGACTGGTCCGACAAAACATTCGACCGTGTCAGACGAAATGTCTGACAGCAATTAAAAAATTTCGACAAGTCTGAAAATATATAGGAAAAATCTTTGAAAATCTTCTCCTCAAGAACCACTAGGCCAGAAAAGCTGAAACTCATGTGGAAGCATTCTGAAGTAGTGTAGATTCTAAATTGTTCAAGTCATATCCTCCGGGGGAAGGGCGGGGCCACATTGGGGAATCAAAGTTTTATATAGAAATATATAGGAAAAAATCTTTGAAAATCTTCTTCTCAAGAACCACTGGGCCAGAAAAGCTGAAACTTATGTGGAAGCATTCTGGGGTTGTGTAGATTCTAAATTATAAAAATCATGAACCCTAGGGTTAAGACGAAACCACAATGGGGAATCAAAATTTTACATAGAAATATATAGGAAAAATATTTCAAAATCTTCTCAAGAACCACTAGGCTAGAAATGCTGAAACTTGTGTGGAAGCATCCTGGTGTAGAGCGCATTCTAAATTGTTCAAATCATGACCCAAGAGGGAAGGGCGGGGCCACAATGGGGAATCAAAGTTTTACATAGAAATATAAAGGAAAATATTTGAAAATCTTCTTCTCAAGAACCACTCGGCCAGAAAACCTCAAACTTATATGGAAGCATCCTAGGGTAGTGTAGATTTCAAATTGTCTAAATTATGATCAGTGGGGTATGGCGGGGTCACAATATGTATTACAAGGGGAAATCTGGTGAAGAACAAAATAGTTAAAGCTTCTCACGTGAGCGATATGGCCCATGGGCTACAATTACACAGCATGGTGCAAATATATTTATTCAAATACTGGCAAATGCATGCAAAATAAATTGTTTTTTACATTCAACTTACTTTTAGAAAGGCGAATTTTTTATTCATTCTCAAAAACATAGCCCGTAAACGCGAAAAACCACACAAAATGAATCTACTTCTTTACCAGCCACTCTCATCAGAAGCCATATGACAGTTTTCGCGTGATGCATAGAGATTTGCGTTTGAAAAATTATTTTTGTTCAGTAAAGTAGATTTTCGGGGTAACTAAATGATTGTGCCGTATGAAATCACTAAACATAGTCATTGAAAATTTATAGAACTATAACTGTACTTGTGACATTTTTTTCGATAATTATGTCTAAAAAAAAAAGGTACTTCCTACAGAGATCCGCTCCCTAGTGATCCCTTGTCTCACTGGCTGGTCCCAAAATAAATCGGTCAAGGTCAGTAAACATGGCGGATAAATCTAAGTTGTGATGTTGACATAAGTCTCGTTCAACCAGACGCTCGGCTGTCTCCGTAAAATCCGACCAGCAGAGAGTCTAGTAAAGAATCACGTTGGCGTTTGTAACCGTCAGTGGGCGCTATTTGTTTTCATTAAAACTGTTCTTTTTGAAAACAAATGTTATATATGCTTCTTCTTCTGGATTGTGACTTTAAATTAATTAACTAATCTTTAATTTGGGACACCAAACGAGATATTACAATATCAATCGAAGAAATGTGTATTACGCAGGTAGGGCTACACTACTTTCACTTTTGCATTCGTACAGAATATTTGCAAGACATAATAAAACACACTTACCTTTAACTGGTGGTCATTACAGTAAACAATTCCTCTCTAATGGTTTAAACTTTAAGACCAGTGTATAGGTCCCTGTAACATATAACTTTTACATCTTTCAGTTATTTTTCTCCTGATTTATCATGTATTTGTTTAAATCGTGTAGGTGTGTTCTTTTCAACTAATCAAAAACTTTACCAGAATCCTCGTTTTGGCGTTATGGTATCACGTATCTTTACCACACCCTCTGGCTGGTCGGAGATTTACGGAGACTGCCAAGTGTCTGGTTGAACGAGACTATGTTGACATACACGAAAAGCAGCCGAAATATGGACTGTTCTGGGTATGCTTGGCTTGATTTATGTTTTTCATAACTAAATTTTTGAAGTTCAGGTGAGAAATGTTAATTAAATAGCCATTTACTGATAAATAAAGCCGTAATGTGTGCTGGAGTGTATCACTCCCGCACCATTACGATCCGGAGATCCTGAGGAGTTGTTGCTCCCCAAAATAGGAGAGATCTACATTATTGCGGCTACATGTAGGCGCATGGATATCTCGTTTATAAGATAGATCACAGTAAACTATAGTTTTTTTTTATACCTGTTGTCATTTTGCCTTTAAATGATCAAATAACCTACCTTTTGCGCACGTATTGCATATTATGTCGAAATAGTGCGTGGTTTAATTTTATAATGAATTAAAGTTACAGTTATTGAACAATTATTTTGGATATTGCTAGATATTCTGATGGGCGGTGACGTGTTCGCACCCATCAGAATATCTAGTGATATCCAAAAAAACTGTTTAAGAGGCAGTCCACCGAAAAACCAGGCAGTATTGTATTGATAGGCGGCACATCGAATGTGACAAATATTTGATATTTTATTAAAAACAATATCAATGTAGTCCAAATGGAATAGTTTAATTGAAGATTTGTTTGAAAATTGTTCATTCAGTAAAATATCCTTTTCTTTCGTGTTTTTGAGATCCCCTATATTAACCATTGAGTTTAGCTCAGAAACAAAGAACTGTAGTTTCCAATAGATTTTTCACAGGACTATAGTTCACACTGAACTAAATCTAGAAATATTTCATCTTTCTGTTTCAAAAATAAAATCGGTGGGAAAAACACTTTTGACTTAGTTTTCTGGCAAAATATATAGTCATTTTTGTGACATTTTGCAATGCAAGAGTTATCTCCCGTAGTATCGGTAAATCTGCTACGCACTTTACTATTGGAATCCTAGTGAACTATTTAGAATCGATACACTAAAAATATTATTAAGCAAAGAATAACTACTTTATATTAAAAATAGAGCTCATTCTCGCCTCCAAACGTAATATTTAGATAAAAATGGGCTGTATTAGTGTAATCCACGTTTCCATTGATGAATAAGTGACGTCATATATCTGACTTAAACTGCGGCACAATTAAATAGTTAAAAGTTTTACAGAGAAGTTTGTAAATTCTTTGCATAAAAGAGCAAAGAAAAAAAATTAATTAAGAAAAAATGATACGTTATTACTCATATTTACATTTGTGACTTATTTATACTTTAAATTTGCCTGATTGTTACTTTTAACGTTCGAAATGCGTTATTTTTCAAACCCAACGGGATGTATGTAATCCACTAAACGCGCATTGACCCTTTATGACGTAACACAGATATTACGTTGTACGTTTATCCAAACGCACATCTATGACCTCTTGACCCTGTACCTGTATTTATTTACGCATTGAAGTCATATTTTTGGATGTCAGATGATAATTTGTCGGCACGGCCAGGTGTGTTATAGGACCGAAGACATCCAAAAATATGAATTCAATTCTTATATTTACATTCTCTTGTATTCCTTCTTCATAATTGCTTATTTCGTTAAGCTTAAATGTGAATCTATTGCCTTTCAAAACTGCCGTGGTTAATAGATGTAAGACTGACGTCAAATGACGTTAAATGACGTTGCAAAGTTAGATAACGCAAACAAACATTGCGAGTAAATAAGTGACAAATTAATTTTAAACGCATATTACGTTATTTTTACGTTCATTGTTCAGGTTTATAGTTTTTCATTAAATTTGATTAAACATTTCACATTTTGGTTTTCCTAGAGTATTGAAAATGTACATAGTTCCGACTGTGTATTCTAGCGCGCAGTGACAAGGTTTTGCGTGTGTTATAGAAATTTGAACGTCGTGGATTTCTAATGGATTTCATAAGGAAAATTACACTGAATGTAAATATATAGTTATAAAAACGCTTGCTTTCAGTAGTGTTATATAAAGGAAAACATTTGCAAATGTAAATATAAATAAATAATGTCCCTTTTTCTGTTCAATTACTCTACAGAGTGCATTATCCTAAATCTTAAATAATATATTTTATATCTCTTATACATGTCTATATAAGAACTAATCTGATTAA